TGTGTGTGTGTGTGTGTGTGTGTGTGTGTGTGTGTGTGTGTATGTGTGTGTGTGTACGTGTGTATTTATACATATTTCTATGTATTATTTTTGCTTATTTTTGCCATATATATATATATCAATACATATATATATAAATATGTGTGTGTGTGTGCGTGTGTGTGTGTGTGTGTACGTGTGTGTGTTTGTGTGTGTGTACATTATATATTATTTATATATATATATATATATTATGCATATGTATATATTATTTGCATATGCACAAGTATGTATTATAATCATATGTATATGTATATATATTTTTGTGTGTGTGTATGTGTGTGTGTGTGTATTTACATATTTTCTTATGTATCATTTCAAAATCTATTGCCACATACATACATCGAGTTATATGTTTATATATTTCCATTGACAACTGAGCTTGACAATGCTTAATTATAGTGCACATGTATTACTTGCTTTCAGGTATGTTGTTTATAGGGCGTTGCTCGCGTGCATACATATGAGTTACTACGTTATGTTATTCGCTGTTCCTTTTGATTTATGGTTACATTCTGGCAAAGCAACCTCGTTGCAATCTAGAATACACGTTTACCGATAGCTTTCCAGAAATCGTCTGTTTTAGTTATACGATCTGTACTACGTTCGACAAGGCCCGATATGTATTCAACTATATATTTATCTATTTGAATCTCCATATAGAATTCGCCTACTTGAGCCTTTTGCCCTCTGTTAACAAATTGTAATTTGTTACGTTTATTATCTTCGGGTATCTGTGCTGATGTCACTCACATAGCATGGTTCGACACTCATGTACTATTTATTTTTAGATTTTGAATGTGCGCTAGAAACATATACACTCAAGTATATATACGAGGAAACCGCACATAACAACTCTATTGAACCTTCGAAACATGAAATCTGTTTCGGTATATATATAGGACTCAATTCAGACATACTGCTCTATTGAGCGAATATCAGACACTCGCATTTCGATGATTGCACTATACCAATTTAGTTGTGATGTTCAATGTACTTCACGCAGTATTCTATTTATAAGCATATTAGAACCCAGCATTGCTATGTGAGTATATGACGTATACTATGGGCAAAGCCAAATTCGGGGCGAAAAGCTCTATTGTGAATTGTAGGGTCCGCCTTCTAACTGCAAATGTCGCATGGTACTAATGCAACAGTCCTTATCATCTTCAGTTTCAAATTTCGCCGCTAATGTGGCCCCAGCTATTCGGAAAATAGTTGGACAGACCAATTGGACGGAGAAGGCTATGCTAGAAGCTCAGATCGCTCGGTGGAATATACCAGAATAATTAAAACCCATTTCTATATATATTACTTCCTACACATCCAATATTGCAACTCGGCCATTAGCCAATGGAATGCACATGACAATGATACTGAAATACGGAATATCGCCAACAAGGGTGTCGTGGATGCCGGTCTTCCAACCCTTTGTGCAGTATTTTTGTACTTATGAACAAGTGTTCACGCGGTTACATTATTATAATGCGGGACATTTTAATCTCCCCGAAAATTAAGTACTGCCCTATTGGTGATATGATAAGGCTGGAGAAAATGTTGTCGGTAAATGTTAGTACAAGTTCATAGTTCATACGTACCACATAGCAAATAATCTGGTACACGCTAATTAAGAATATACCTAGGTATGGTAATTGAAACCATTGCTGAATAACCGTTCACGCTTCCATAACTGTAAAGTGATAAATTGATTCTACTCACATTGTGACAGCATAGAAATGCCAAATACACCTCAATACGAGACGCAATTGCGAACGATTATCAAGGAGATCCCTCTTCTCCCCATCTCCTTCCGATCCAGTTGCCTCTAGAGATTATCTAACAGTAGACAAATCAAAGGCTAGGATATCTACTAGTGTATTTTGTGTAGAAGGTGAAGGTGAGCCTTTGTAGTATATGGGGGGACGAGAGGATGATATTACAACGAATCATAGAGGCTTACTAGTCCATGTATAAAAGCTTGCGCTAGAATATTCTAGAATATTCATACGATTAAGCTATTCTCAGTTTCATTACAAACTCTGAAGTGGCGAATACAACAACAGTAGGTGTTTTAAAATTGCGATCATTGATTCCGAATGCCATTTTTTGCGGTGCTGAAGCATTTTTGTGTGGTGTGGTTTGTTGATGAGGTTTAGTCGACGTCTATCATCGGGTTTGACATCGTCTCGTTGCTCGGATAGACATTCAGCCGTGCAGGTGAAAAATCTTTGTGTGTAACCTCCCCTTTTTAATGCCAATCTCGATGTGCACTCGCACTCACGAACCAATCTTTCTTCTGATAGAAAGTTGTACCAGTGTGTTGATATACCCGCCTTGGTAGTTTGCAACAACTCATCTTTATAACTATTGAGCTGTCTTCTCGCATCTGAGCCAGTACATTAGTAAATACAATGCAAATGTGGATTGTAAACATTTTTACACAATAAAAGTTAATAATAACCTCGCGCAGGTATGGAACTAAAAGCTCTGAGTACCGAGCGGGATATTATCTCTGGTATGTTCACTATGTATGTACATAAATTCCTTTGCATTTTTATATCTACATACATACATACATGATACAACTTCATTTTTTTTTAAACAAAAATATGCTTGGATTTATGTACATAGTTCTATTTTATTTTTTAAAAACATTTAACAAATTGTACATCCATTTGTATGTATTTATTTACATAATATGTACACTTCATATAGAGTACATACCGAGTTTATCTGTTTTTTTATTCAAAACAAAATTTAAGTTTTGAGACATACATATCCCTTTTGAAAGTTAAAGCTATGTATAAGCATTTTAATAAAAAAACGATGTTATTTATGTAACATCGGAATAGATAAATCACGGCTGGGACGCCGCGGGGACTGACTCTCTCGCACTTCACTCAACCCACCCATTCTCACTCACTCACAAACTCTCGCACACACGCTCACACATACGCTCACTCCTCACACCAAACTCTTATAGCACACATCCATACACCCGCACACATACACACTAACCCACACACACCTACTCATACAAACTCACTCACCAAAATTCACTTAACACATGTGTACACATACATACTATTGTTCACGCACACACGCTCAATCATACACGACCACCCCCACACACAAGCTCACTCACACACATGCTCATTCATTCACAAAACTCATACATACACACGCATCTATGCATACTGGCACAAACGTTCACTCACTCACTCACACTCGCTCAATAAAAAAACCAGTTCACTCGTACGCGCTGACTGATACAAACGTCTACACGTGTGTACACACATGTACACGTGTCACACACATACACACACACATATATATATGCACACACACACACATACATACACATACACACGCCCATACACACACATACATACACACACAGAGAGAGAGACACACACACACACACGCTCATAGCCTTTAGCTCACTTTCTCACTCACTAACACTCGCTCACTCACTCCCTCACACACTCTCTCTCACGTGTACACACGTCCAAAAAGAATCATAAAGGACCCCATTATATACTATTAGGTTTTGCTTTTTAAAATTAAAGTAGATAATGTCTTGAGGGATCTCCCCCTTCCC